TGTCTCCTTGTGCTGCCCTTTGTTGCTGGAAGCCCATTCCCTTTTTTCTCCCTGGGTAGCAGTTTTATTTAAGGCATTTGTAATAATTTATTTGCATCCATTCTCTCGCCGTTTTCTGCAAGGATTTTTACGGTCCCTCTTGCTGAGCATATTTATTATTAAAAACCACAGTTTTATAATACTCAGTCTTTTTCTACAACACACAGTATTGTAGAAAAGGCTTTGCATCTGGCCCCAAACTACTTTCTCTGTGCCCATTGGGCTGGAAGTTAAGGTGCCATGGTCTTCAGCTGGGCAGAGTACATGTTCTGCTCAGTGTTTGATCATTAGGGCATACGAGATCCAAAGGGAGCAATGCCAAGGTAAAGATCCTACCTGGGGACAGAGCCAGGGGAAGCAGTGGGGCCTCTGCCTTGGTGCACAGCTCCCCAAAGCCCAGCCAACAGCCTTAAGCTTGACTGGGATTTCTTTTGATACTGGGGCACATTCAATTGTCTTTGCTTGATTTCCTGGGACAGCCCAAGGAGTTTGAGACCTATGGAAATAAAAGAGGGGAATCCTATCTACCAACAGGACTTCTCAAATCTTTTCTTTGGTAGAGCAGTGTTTGCTGTGGCCCTACAGGAGCTGGACAGGGTCCTGGGACCACAAGGAGCTCCCAGGCAACACACCAGGCCTCAGCATATAGTTGCAGATAAGACCAAGTTGATGGTGAACCATAGAGTGAGAGAAGCCATGTTTCCTACAGATTTCTATCATGCTGTCCCTCCCTTCCACTTCTGTTATCACAGCTTTTTCCACTGCTCTGTGAAATGTACTGTAGCTGGCTAAGGGGGTGTCAGTGCTGGCTGGCCAGCTGGTGCCAACACTGACAGGCCAGTAAGCCACCACAGCCGAGCTCCATTCTGCTTTTGCTCACTCGGTCTCTCCCACAAGCTTCTGAAGCTCACGAAACTTAAGAAGGGTATGTAAGCTTCCTACTCCTCTGTCAAGTGTGACTGAAACCCACCAGTACATGCAGAAGAGGCGAGGAATGTTGACAGCCAGCCAGATACCCAGCTCAGGCTCAGATACATCCTTTCTGAAGGATGGCACATCATGCTGCCAACCGCCACTGCTCCTGGGGCTACGCGCTGACCTGGCCAATGCTCTTGCAGTGCCCCAGTGCTGCCCAAAATTACTCCAAAATTGGTTTATCCTTTGGCATTTTGCTTTAAGGGAACATCTGATTAAAATGACTTTGCTTACCCTCACAGCCCTGTACAGGCAGGTGGACTTTAACAAACCCCCTCCTCTGCTTGGTGCAAGCATCCTGGCCTGGCTCAACGTCAGTGATTTGGAAATTGCCAGAAAGTGCCAACATTGCAACAGCATCAGCCACACCACCATGGTGTGCACCCTCTGCCTCCATGGGCTGCTATGACAAGCACAAGGAGTGTGGTCACTTTGCCACCACCCAAAGGACTTCCAGTAGCCACGGATGGAGACCACCCCCAGCCATGCCACTGGACACTCCCGCCTGGGCTGAGACCACAACTGGGTGTGGAGGTGCCCATTGACAGTGATGGGGGATGGCAGAAAGATGGTAGGGAGAAGAAGGTAGCAGGAGGGGGCTGCTGAGGTGTGGGTTGGGGTGCCCCATGGCAGCAGTCCCAGTGTAGCTCCCTGGGCAGCACTGTTACATCAGCCGCTCCATCAGTTTACAACACTCGCCCTTGAGCCTTGGCCCCACAGCCTGCTGTGGTGTGGACACATTGCACAACACCCCTGGCCCTGCTCCCCTTCCCCACCAGGGCTGCCCCATGGGTGGCTGAACTGTCACAGCAGCATGCCACTTCCCGACAGGGAGGAGAAGATGCTCCATCCATCACTGCCTCTAGCAGGGCACCGGAGGAGGTGGCAGGACCAGGAAGGGTCCCCAAGGACCTGCTCAAGCCTGCTGGTGGAGATGGTCCTTGAGGAACAGTGGCAGGGGAAGGAGGGCTGCCCCACAGGAGGGATGGAGAAGCTCTGCCCCCCTCCTGCAGCAAGGGAGCAGGACTGAACCCCAGTGGTGCAGGCACCACCATGTCCTCTCCCAGAGGGGCCTGGGATAAATCCTCCGGGTGAAACAGGAAGAAAACCCAGATGAGACCTGATGGGAGAGCGGGACCTTCATTTCAGGGCTGTCTGTCATAGATGGGACCAGTTCTGCACCGCTTCCTCAGGGATAGACACTCTCAGAAGCTTTTCCCTCTGCCAGGGAGCAAGCTCTGCCTCTTCCCTCAGCAAGGTGGAGGGGGAGTGGAAAGCTGTGGGGCAATCACAAAGACCACTGTGCAAGGGGCTAAATATAGCCACTATTTCAGCTCCCCAGAGATAACAGCCTGTGTCCACAGCCGGCCACAACGCCCTGGCTCGACTTCCACCCACCTTTGCTTCGGGAGCAAACACCAAGCAGCAGTTGTGAAACACCCTGCCCCACTCATGGCAAACAGGGCTTGTATCGAGGAGCAGAAAGACACCCTGCATGCATTCCTTCCCCATGCTGGGAGCTGGCCACCAGCTCAGAGGCTAACCACATCTCCCTCAGCACTTTGGTGGTGATGAGCAGCCAGCAACGTGCAGGAGAAACCTGCCGCAGAGCAGAGTGACAACTGTAAGCAAGCACAGGGCTTCCCAGGTTTTGGGCTCACCCCATTAAACTCACTGCTTCCACCTGAATGTCCCTCGCATCCCAAGACCAGCACCACTGAGCCAGGCTGCAGTGGCCCTGTCTGGAGAATGGGAGGCAGGAGCAGAGAGGGCCAGTGGGTAGTGACCACCTTATTGGGTCTCTGCCTGCTGCTCCAGGGTAAATCTGAACATGGCTCTCTCATCCCTGCTGTAAACGATCACAAAGTAGCACATACTGAAATCCCACCATACCCTCAGCATGTGAAATACTACTGTAAATAAGTCTGCAAGGCTCCTGCAGTGAGCACATCCTTCAGCTCTCTCTCCAGCTTTAAATCTTTTCACTGTCCATATCTAGAAAGGGTTTATCAAATAAAAACAATGGTGGTAGGTTTGTTTTTTCTTTCCCCTCAACAAAACCCTTCTGTCTTCCAGAGTAATAAGTTTATGAAATGGCAGCTTCCAGCAGGAAGTATCTGGCTTTAACAATAGCTCTGTGTGTGTTTCCACAAGTTGATTGAAAACAAATGTTGACACTTGAATCCTGCTTTTATGCTCTGCAAGGGAGGTGAGAGAGAGCAGCATCGTGCACAGCTGTGCAATTACCACATGTGGTACAAACCCAGGCAAATACTATTATCCTCACCATGGGAGGAGGTAGATGCACCATCTACACCCCGCAGCAAGCCTTAAAGCCTCTGCTGCTTGCCCATGGAGGTGGCATTTGTCCCCAGAGCTGCTTCCCTGTTGGGGTGGCCAGCTCCACGTGCATTTTTCATGTGGCTGAGGGTGTTGGGCTCTGCACTGAAGCAGACCCTGGAGCAGAGGTGGGAACTGGCAGCAGAAGGGCAGCTGAGAATACCCCTTGTCCCAGTGGCCCTGGATAGTCCATTTCAGAGCATCAGCTTGCCTGGCAGACGTTTGCAGGGTCCTGGAAGCACCTTCCCAGCTTTGGGATAGAGGCAGGGCAGCTCTCTGTGCCAGCAGGGCCCCGCAGGTGTTTTTTCCTATTGTAAGTCACCTTATGGTAGTAATTTTTCCCCCTCCACACCATAAATCTGGAAAGAGGATTTTGGAGTATCCTCTGGAGCTTTCTACCCAGTGCCAATACAGACTGGAGCCACGGTCACAAGATTCGTGTAACCTTGCTCCCCATCACCCCAGGCCAACTCAGCTGAAATCAGTGCCCAGAGAGTCTTCCCTGCCTCAAGAACACATTATAGTCACTTTAGACCTTATCTGCTTATCCACAATGCCTGCACAGCCGCACTCTCCCCTTCCTGCACGGGTAGAGACTGCACTGTGGCACAGCAGCCATGTGTCGCTGCAGGACACAGAGGGGCTGTTAGTGTCCAAGGCCTGACACAGAGCTGGCATCTTCTTCCACAGCAAGTGCTGTGCTCGGCACTGGTGAGGCCATACCTTGAATACCATGTTCAGTTCTGGGCTCCTTATGACAATAAAGACATTGAGGCTCTGGAGTGGGTCCAGAAGAGGGCAACAAAGCTGGTGAAGGATCTGGAGCACCAGTCTGATGAGGAATGGCTGAGGGAACTGGGGTTGTTTAGTCTGGAGAAGACAAGGCTTAGCAGGGACCTTATAGCTCTCTACAGCTATCTGAAAGGAGCCTGTAGTGAGGTGGGGGTCAGTCTCTTCTCCCAAGTAACAAGTGACAGGACAAGAAGAAACGGCCTCAGGCTGTGCGAGGGGAGGTTTAGATTGGATATTAGGACAAACTTCTTCACAGAGAGGGTGCTCAGGCATTGGAACAGGTTGCCCAGGGGAGTGCTGGAGTCACTGTCCCTGGAACTGCTAAGAAAACGTGTAGCTGAGACCCTCAGTGACATGGTTTAGTAGTGAACTCGGCCGTCCTGGGGTAAGGGTTGCACTTGATGATCTTAAAGGTGTTTTCCAACCCAGTTGGTTCTGTGACCCTATGAATCTCTCTCCGCTCAGGGAAAGGCGGAGGGGCTGACTTCACAAGCTCTTCCCACAGAGGACAGGGTCCCTTATGGCAGAAAGACCTGGGAAGCGCTGCCGCCGCTCCTCAGCTTCGCTGCTGCTGCCAGACCGAGTCCGCTCCCCCCGCTCAGTTCCTCCTGGGCAGCCGGGACCGCCGCTGTCCCCGCTGCCCGCTGCCCGCTGCCCCACTCCACGCCGCTGCCCACCCGCTCCCCACTGGCTCCGCCGCCGCAGCCCACTGCCCTCCGCGTGCTGGGCCCCCGGCTGCCGATTGGCCCCGCGCCGCGCTGGGGGCGCGCTCATTGGCTGCGGCGCGGGCTGGCCGGGAGGGGCGGTGCCCGCGGTCGCTCTTAAGTCACCGGGCCCAGGGCTGCCCGGGCAGCTGGCGAGTTGTAGGGTGGCGGGGCTGGCCTCATGCACTGCACCAGGTATGGTCCCGTGGGATCGCGGCCTCCTGCCCTTCGCCGCTGTTTGCCTTCCCCCGGTGCGGGGTCGCAGCCCCTTCGGGTGTGCGGGAGAGGGACCGGTGCTTCCTACCGGGTGGGAAGGGGTGCTCCGTGCTCGGCTCCTGGGGGTCTCCGGAGTCCTGCTGTCTTTTCTCCGGGGTGGTCGGCTCGCCTCGTTTCGGGTTTGCAGAAGGGTCGGGCTGCAGCAGGATTAACGCATCTCGTCGGGGAAATGCGTGTGGGAGCTGGGCTGTGCCCTCGGAGCAGTTTGGCTTTCCCTGATTAGAGAGGAGGAGAGCGCAGAGAACCCGAGCGCTGCTTCATCCAGCAGTGTGTCACGTCTGAAAGCTTCTGGCTTAGCAGCTGCTGCGTGTTGAGCCCTTTGCAAGAAGGTTACCTGTTCACAGGCAGCGCTGGAAACAGAATAGAGGCAACTGAAGGGGCTTGATAAGTGTAGCTGTAAGTGATTCCTTTACTCTGACTTGTTTCCTCTACCTAGAAACAGAGGAGAGAAGAGTGAGCAGTGGTTATCTTCTGGAGAGGGTAGAGCTGTGGGAAGATGTCCAGAGGCAGCATCTAGTCTGAGAGCAGGGGGAAAGGCATCAGTCTCTGCACCTGCATAGGGCTGCCTACCCTGCACTGCTTGCTTCCTAGAGCTCCCTTTCCAGTGTGAGTGCTTGCAAGTGTTTCCGTGCCCCCACCTTCAAAGCATCTGAAGTTCAAGGCAGCCAATACTAGCATTAAAAGGCAAACCTTCCCCTGCTGGCTGTGAGTTTGGCATCAGCAGGTTCTCAAGTGCAGGAAAATATGTCTGGGGTATTAAATGAGCTGAAAAAAAAAACCAATTTGCAAAAGCTCAGAGCTCAGCCTAATAGTAGGTATGAAAAGCTCTTACCCTAGTTCATAGCTTGGAAAAAAGCTCCAAGTGATGCAGACCACGCTGGTTATTTCATGCCTTTTCATTCTAAAAACTTGAATAACCCAGGCTTACTAAGAAACTTGTCTTCTCAGCAGTTATGGGAATCCAGCTGAATATATTTCTCTGGGAAAAGATGCACTGCAGATGGAACTGGCCCAAGTAAGAGGGAAGCATTGAAGGCTGCATTAATGTAAAGAAGGAAATGACCTATATAAAGTGTGTGTGAATAAAAACTTGGTAAAACCAGGTAGAGATGATCAGAACAGTGTTAACAGACAGGTGGATCTGCTGTCTGTCTTGCACGCTGCCCTTGAGCTGGAAGGAGGCATTGCAGAAGGACTAGCTGGTGGGTGTGTTGGGAAGCAAGCCTTGGCACATGTGCTTTAAATAAGCAGATGCCCTTGCTGAATGGATGCTGTGAAAGCCTGCTCAGAGCTGCTCTGTTGGTGTTGCAGGGTGGGGAAGCTAAAGCACTGAATCGGATAGCGTAGGTCTTGCTTTTTCTTGGCACGGGGCAGCAGTCAAGTACTAGAGCTGGCTGTGCGTGGTTTTGGCAGCTAGTGCTCTGCTGTGTCACGTGGCTGGCGGTCACTGCTACTGCTGCTGGCTCATCCAGCTCTGTGTGCTGGGAGCAGCTTTGGAGCCTGGCCCTCAGCCAAAGGGGGGATTTTTATTAAGGGAATACTGTGTTTAAGGTCAGCGGTGATGCGGTTGACTTTAGGGGGATGTATGTGATCAATCTGTCCAGCAGTTTGTCTGGAGCCAGGCCAAAGACTCTGGCAAAGGTATTCAGCCTAACCTCAGTGTAAGGGCAGGAGTGATAGGTATGGTGCTCTGCGAGCTGCCTCGCTGCCTGCAGAGGCAACTCCAGGGCTACATCCATTAAGGTGCTGGGCGGGAGCTGTTCTGTAGTGGGTGAACAGAGAGGGATGGTGCTGCACCCATGGAGGAATAGGCTTGGCACTGGTGAAGGGGAGGAAATGGTGAGGGACACATGGCCTGCTCCCTCCAGGGAAAGGACTTGCTTCTAAAGACTTGGTCAACCTGGGGTAGGCGAGTTGTGTTTGGCAGACCCCTGTGGTTACACATATGGTTCCCAGGGGCTCAGTGCAAGCACTGTGGAGGCTTGAGGTGTGAACTCTGCTGGAGGTGAAGCCTGTGGGGCCCTCTGAGCTGACATCTATTTTAAAGTGCGGTAGAGGGAAGAAAGGCTCTTCTGTGGGTGCAGTGTTGGCTAAATCTCTATCCTGATGCTGTATGGGACTGTTGCTATCCTTACAATAGCACTTGCAGGCATTTTAGAGCAGTTCAGGTAGACAGTGAGCAAAGTATGTAGCTCAACCTAATGAGGGCTTGTAGCCCCTAAAAATACCAGACATTTGGGGTTCTATGGAAGGAAGGGTCAGTTGCTTACAGTAGCTTGTGACAAACTGAGTTTGTGCTCCTATGAAAGCGTCCAATACCTGGGGAGAGTCTTTCCTTGAGGGCAGAGACTACAGCAGGAATCCTGCTTTATGTAGCATTCAAATTTCATAATTTCTGGGTTTTGCGGACATCAGCAGGACTGAGCTATGGGCTTTGCTCTGGAGCCTGTTATTGCTAGCCTAGTAGAGCAGTGCCTGTCTGTGTGTCCTCAAATGGTAATTCCGCCCCTGTAGCAATTGGAACAGATCTTGTTCAAAGGTACAGCAGGCTCTGCTTCTGCCACTTGTGCTGCAGTATGTTTCTCACTGTGTGTGCAAGTACCTGCTTTCTTAAGGTTGAGCAGCTTGTGGGGTTGATGAAAGCAAGTTGCTTTGGGATGACTTGGGGGGGAAGCGGTGTAGCACTTGTATGACAAAAGTCGTATTAAAATGCTTTTCTAACATCTACTGACCCTTCTTATCTTCCAGAGTATTAGACTATTTTCCTCACAAACAAGCAATGGCTGTGGATGTAGCAATGCAGCTATACCTTTGCTCTTCACCCTTGCTAAGAGACAAGTGTGCCTGCAAAATTGTTCCGAAGACAAGCAAGCCACTGCGGCCCTGCATCCAGCTGAGCGGCAAAACTGCCCTGACTGGACCAGAAGAGGCAACAAACTCCTTCACACACAACAAAGTGAAGAAGAGGGTGTCATTTGCAGACAGCAGGGGCTTCGCTCTGACGATGGTGAAGGTCTTCTCAGAGTTTGACGATCCACTAGACATTCCTTTCAACATCACAGAGCTGATAAACAATATTGTGGGCCTGACAACAGTGGAGAGGGACAGCTTTGTCCTGGATTTTGTTCAGCCCTCTGTGGACTACCTGGACTTCAGAAACCGCCTCCAGGTGGACTGTGTCTGCCTTGAAAACTGTATGCTGAAGGAGCGATCTGTTGTGGGAACAGTGAAGGTGAGGAACCTCGCTTTTGAAAAGACTGTGAAGATCAGGATGACGTTTGACACCTGGAAAAACTTCGTAGATTACCCATGCCAGTATGTCAAGGATACGTATGGAGGGTCAGATCGGGACACCTTTTCCTTTGACATCAGCTTGCCCGAGGGCATTCAGTCCCATGAAAGAGTGGAGTTTGCCATCTCCTTTGAGTGCAATGGGAAGGTGTACTGGGACAGCAACAGGGGCACAAATTACAGGATCATACGGTCAGAACTGAAGTCTGCCCAGGATGCTGTCTGCCCCCCTCAGGGCCCTGACTTTGGCAGTGCCTTTGACCAGTTTGGGAGCCCTCGGTGCTCTTATGGCCTCTTTCCTGAGTGGCCCAGCTATTCAGGCTATGAGAAGCTAGGGCCTTACTACTGACCCAAGAACAGAGTCCTGACTAACTGTTGTTGGCTTGTCCGCAGGCCTGAGAGCTGGTCTGAATGTGAGGTGTATGGAAAGGACAAAGATGTATGGTTTCAGGCAGCTCTGCATAAGCCTCAGAGCAAAACCAGTTGTGGAAACTCTGCTGGCAGTGGACTGAATAGCTAGGGAAGTGTCTCTGCCCCAAAGGGCTGCCTTCCCTGCCCCAACTTGGATAACTGGCTCTCCAAATGCTCAAAGAACCAGGAGCTGTTGCTTGTGTTTCTCTTCAGCGCTGCTACTCCCTCCTCTTCTGTAAAGCTGCTAGTCTCCTGGGAAACACTACAGTGCTTATATCACATGTCCAGACTATGTAGTGGTGGCTGGTTTGTATTGCTTGCCTAGTGCTAAAAGGCTTTTTCAAAGTATGTTCTATTATAGTTTTAGTGAGCCGTACTGCAGCTGCAGGGTTCTCCTTGCAAAGCTGGCCTGTGCTTGTGAAGTAGTAGAGGGGTTGGCTTGCATGGAATGGAGTACCATCCTTGCACGTGTCTTTGTAGTGCGAGGTCCTTCCTACTGGAGCCAGAAAGGGTATTTTGGAAGTGAAAATGCAACTGTGATGACAGGAAATGTGGTCCTACAGGCTGCCGTATTAGGAGACTTGTGTGCCTGTGGGAGAAGATCTCATGCTTAGTCACCAGTTGTTTTATCAGCTGATCTCTTAAAAACTCTTGCCGTGCTACCTAAAATAGAGATTAGCTGTAGCTGTGCGGTGCTCGTAACACTGCTGTGGGTTGACAGTCTTGAATGACTTCTTAAACTTTCCTGTTTCTTTGATCACAAGTCATCAATGATGCTTTTTCCCTTTGATGGACATCTGAAATCAGCTGTTGGCCATGCTTGGCCCTGAAAACACAGTTCTTCATCCTGTGGGCTGTTAAAACAGGGCTTTGTCTGGCTAGGGCCCAGAGTCCTAAGCAGGAGGCTGTTCTCAGGTGTTACAGGGGCTAATGCAAATGGATCACTCGGCTACTCTGTGCTGTGTTCCGTTACAAGAAGGTAACTGTTGTGTACCTACTGTGGTGGAAGTGCCTTGACTGAGAAGGGGGTGGTATGTGTGATCCCAGCAATGTTTTGGGATAAACAGGCTCTGGAAATGACACTGCTTTTAAAAAAGGATCTTCTAATGGTTTGTTGCTCCATGCCATGGACTGCTTGGCAGCTAGTGGTGTGGCACTGCTCACATGCAAGGATGCTGTGGCTATACCGGGTGACCATCAACATGCTGGGCTTCCTTTGCTGTTGTAGCAGCAGCTGCCTTTTCAACCTGTAAATGCCGAAGCTTTGCATCTCTGCGTCCATAAGAAGCAGCCCCTCCTGTGCAGAAAACTAGCCATGAGGTGGGTGAGATGTGGGGTTGTCCTCACATCACTCTGGATGTGAAACAGATCGTGGGTGTGAGCCATCCCTGTCCTCAAAGAGGTGGCTCATCATCTGGGCCTGTGCTGAGGTGAGGTGGCCAGCTTGTGCAGTGCCAAGCAGCCTCACAAAGCTTCTTGAGTATTAGTTGAGCAAAGTGATTTAATCCCTTGTCTCAAAGCTAGAGTTCTGAGTAGTTTGTAGAAATAGAGGTCACGGGAATCTTACCTTTTCTAGTGTATAAGCTTTATGTAATTTTGGGGGTGCCTATAATAGCCTATGGGTGGGCTGGAGAGAAGCAATGGGCTAGGCTACTTAACTTTTTAAACCCAGCTTTTAATTCTGGAGACTATTGTGTGAAATACTTACACATGGTTTTACCCTAACCTAGAAGGTATACTGTGATCACTGTTGGATGCCAAAAGGAACAAGAGCTTGCAGGAAGAATACTTGGCCTTTAACTGCTGCTTTCTCAAAACCCAACATCAATGCACGTCACCACTGTGCCTGATCACTTAGTGAGCTAGCCCAGAGCTCATCAGGCTAGTTTCCTTTGTTTAAACAGCTTCACAAGTCAGCCCTTACAATTTGCATCGGGTCTCTCTCAAAGGGACTGTTGCCTAGATTGGCTTGATCCTTGTTTTAAACTTAAAGCAAGTCTGAGTGACACTGATTTTCTTTTAGTTTTTTAGTGTATGGTGTTAATGCTGTAAGACACAGACTGTAGAAAAGTCCTGTTCTCCTGGCGTGTTCTTGTGCCTATGGAGAGCTGTTTGTGGGCCGAAAAAAGGCATGTATGTCTGGGGTGCTGTGGATGGTGGTTGTCTCCTTATGGGGCCTGTTTGCTTTCAAGCTGGGGCTGGGGAGTACTTGGGGAGGAACATGGAAGATAAGCTAGAAGAGCAATGCCATAAGTAAAAGCTAGGCTGGGAACTGACTATTTGACCAATAGCATTTTAAGAATACTACTTGTGGCCTTTCCCTTTTTTCCCTTTTTACACTGCCAATGTGAACATAGAAGTGAGGGATTGCTTTCCTCGCTCTATGCCTGGAAGTGCCTTGTGGGGTGTGTTGCATGTTTGTTTTTAAAGATATTTTTGTACACAACATTCAAGTGGAAAAATGCACTTTATAATTGCCATGTAATGACTTTTAAAACGATGGCTCTGTTTTTATCTGATTGTTAAAATAAAGGTGGAACAAAATGTTGGCTGTGTATCTTGCAGTCATCTCATTTAAACACCCATGGGACTGAGGAGGCAATTAGCACATGGGACTAGCTTCCTGCAAGTGGCCATTGGTGGGGAGGAGCACACATCCGCAATGGACTCTGCTGCCTGAAACAGGAAAGTGCTGCCTGTTCCTGCTGCCTTCCTGCCAACACAAATGCTTCTAGAGCCTCTGGAACCACGGGAAGGATGAGAGGAGCTAGTTCACTCTCTATGTGCTCTGAAGTTTTCCACTAACCGCTGTGTTCCTCTTCACTCTTCCCCAGTTTGCAGTGCCAGGAACAGCCTTTTCAGGGTTTTCTGTGTTTACGTTGGGTCAATCCTTGTCCTTCCCCATCTGGCTTCATCTGGGTTTAATGCTTTCTCTCCGGCTGGGTACTGGGGTGTAATGGATGCTAGAAGAGGTGTTGCAGGAGGAGTGTCAGGCTCTTTTCTAATACCAAGATCAAGTGAAAACTAGATTCTTCTTCACCTCGAACTAGCTGTTCCTGTTGCCACTGCAATAAAAAGCACTGGCAGGAAATATGCCCCTTTGCAGAAAGGGAACAGTCCTGCTGTAAATGCCAGCCAGGGCTAGTTTCAGGATTTGACCTGGCTTTGACCACAGAGACCAGATCTTGGTGATGCCCTGAAGGTGCTGCTACTGAGCTGGGTGGCTTTTGTCACTTACAGGTAAGGAAAGCTGGAAAGAGGAAAAAGCGCTGGCTTGAGGGGCAATGCAGGCAGTACTTCCTTGCTACAAAGCCTTGCAGAGATCAAGCTTAGCCTTTGCTCTGCACAGAAACAAACCTGAGCACCTTCGACTGTGGCTATTTCTGAGTCTCTTGCTTTCTCATAAGATGAATTGTCTTTCCAGGGTGCTTTGCTTTCTGCAGCAATGGGGTAAGGTAAAACTTTAGGTTTCTGAGGTTCCTTCCCCCAGTCTTTGTATTGCAAAACCAAAGCATACTGATACAGTGGGGTGCAAGCTCTTCCACCAAGTTATGAAAAGAGGAGTATGTGACCTGGATGCACCTGGGAAAAGGGAATTGCATGGTGTTTCTTGATGGTCTGGGACATTTTCTTCCTCTGTGGCTCAGGGGAGCCTCTGTTGGCTGTCACCCATTGTGGCTTGTGCCCAGAGGTCCTTGTGGTAGTGTGGGATTCTTCCAGCTGTCCACACTCCCATAGGAGTGCTTGGGTCCTGGGTAAGGGAACAGCACAGACTCAGGGGTGTGCTGAAGGGTGGAAAAGTTAATGTGTGTGATTTTTCACATACAGACAGAACAGCAGTTCTGCCACGAGAAATGGCATGAGGCAAAAGGCTTTGCTTTCTTGGCAGTCATTTGCCACTCCCTTTTCTCCATTAAAAATGCTTCAGAGTTTTATTACTACTGTTCTTTTACTCAAGCCTGCAGCACAGACCTCTCTTAGAAGCCCATCTGATTGTTTTTCTGGTTGCAGGGGAGAAAAAAAGTACATTTTTAGAAGTCAATTATGCCATGCCCCAGCACATCTCTAGGAGATGTGGGGGCCTTGGCTAGGGCTGCTGTTGCATCTGAACACTGGTCCAAGCTCATGAGTGAGACACCTGCAGTCAGCCCTTTCCCATAACAGTTTTGTGGCTGAAAACCCCGTGTGACACTGGTTTCTGAGAGATAGGGATGTCCAAGCTAAGCCTAACAACATCTGGGGCAGCCAAGGAGATGTGCAAGAGCTGAGAATGCTCTTGGGTTTCTCTCCTGATGCCCAGGTGTTACATACTAGAGGATACAGATGATGCAGTTACTATATTTATAAAGCCTTTGGTGGCAGGTGTGATTATTCACTTGCTGCTTAATATGCAAAGACTTCTTGGAATGCTCCTGGCATCCCCCAGCCTTTGCCCTGAGGTTCTCAAACCTCTGCATCCTGAGGGGTTTTGTTGCCACCTCTTGGCAGTAATAATTAAGCTGGGATGTCTTGATCTCAGCTGAGGTGTTTGGAGGTTCAGGTTTCCTAAGTCTGTGCTCCATGGACAGCTCTGAAAGGGGCAGGTGTTCCCTGGTTCATGTCCAACTCCCTCTGCCAAGCTCAATCTCCCACTGGCCCAGGGATGCTGTCCTACGAGTCCTATAGGAAGCGTATGGGATCTCTGCAGCTGCATCCTGGCAGAACAGGGTCAAAAGTGTTTAATAATATTGTTAAAAGTAGATCCAAGCACCTCAGGAAGAGCACAGGTGAGATCTGGCTGCTCTCTTGCCGTTCTCATCGCTGCCAAGAGGGTCCTTGATGGGGAATGTGGGCTGCTAGAGCTGCCCCCAACGTTGTCTGGCTTCCAGAGCAGGGCTGGTGATTGGCTGAGAAAATCTGCTCTTTGAAGCTGCTCATGCATTGGAGGAGGTCCTTGAGGTTAGGTTTCAACACATGCTTAGCTAGGCTCTGCTTAATCAGGAAGTGAGGCTCTGTTGCTAACTGAGCACCAAGCAGCAGTAAATGCAGAGCTACAGCTGAGACACACGACCCTCAATGTGAGGAGGTGATGAGCAAAAATGTAGGAAATCCAAGGTCTGTATTTCCTTTCAATCCCAAAGGATGGTTCAGCCTGCTGCATCTCTGCATGTGCTGTATGAGCACCCCATGTTCTTGCTTTAGGTGTTTGCCAGGGCAGAGTCAACATGGGGGATACTCTGGTGAAAAACTGCCCACAGCAGGGTTAGATGCAGAGGGCTGGAAAAACACCACTGCCAACCCATGGGAGTGTAAATGCATCCAGATGGTCCTTTGCTGCTGGAGCAAATTTTACTTTGGTGTTAAATGTAGCTCTTACAGGCACTCAAAGTGGAGAGTGACCCGTGGAGGATGTGTTTGCCTTGGTAACAGCAGGAGTGTAACAGGGGAGGAAGAGAGAGTGCATCCCAGGAGCAGACAGCATTTCTTTGGTTTCTCCTTCACAAACTGTCAGCAAATGAGGCTCTCAAAGAGACAAGGTCTTTGGGGCATTTGAAGCCCTTTTAACAGGGCTACCTGTTGCTCGGTAGTGTCTCTCTCATGCACTATATCAGGGCATTGCCCTTTTGCCTTCTTACACACCATGACACTGTTTCTGCCACTGCCAGCATAACCACCACCAAACTCATGCTTGCGTTTGGTTTCACGATGTCTTCCACAAGCCTGTGTGTGGTCTGCAAGCAGGAAGGGCACTTGTGTCCAGTGGGAGGAGGCTGTGCTAAGGACACAGCTCTCAGAAGCACCCTGCACCCCTGGGAGCAGCACAGAGCTTTGCCCTAAAGCCAGCACCATGGGGCTGGGTTGGGATGCTCCGAAACTCCCCTGGTGTTTCCACAGACTTGCTCCTACTGGGCAGTTTGGCTGGCTCTAAGCTATTGCAATAAAACATATTTATGTCCTTGTCCCTTTTTGATGGAGCTAAGCTTCAAACCAGCTGCTCTGGCCCAGCAAGGTTCTGCTACACTGCAGCCAGAGAAGCTGCCTCGCCTGTCTTTATCCTCCCCCTTGGAGGGGTACTGTGCCAGGCAGTTAGCTGTCTTTAAAGACTTGTTATTGACATTTTACAAGGCTTTAAAAAAAAAGAAAGAAAAAGAAAAAGGGTGCCTTTGTTGAAAAATAATTGCATCTGGCTGTTCCTTTGGTACAGATAAGTCAGAGCAGTCACCAAGTTAAGTACTTGGCTCCTGCAGCAAGGATACGGGCAAGCTCTTTGAGACGATGCATTAGTCACAGATCTCCTCTCTGCTCCAATGGTGCTATGTGGTTTTGGGAGGGGGAAAGCTCAGACTCAATAACCCAGGAGAAATATGCTCAAAAGAGCACAGAAAGAGGGTGAAATGCTGAGAATATTTCCATAAATGTTTTTATAGCTTCCAGCTATTTCTGGAGTGGGAGTTTTGTGGAGACCATGGTGATGTATTTATATTTAATGAATAGTAGACAGGTTCAAGTGGGAAGAGATCTCTTGATGTCTGCTCCAATCAGAACCACTCTCACAGCTATAGCTGAGGTCAGTCGAGGCCTCATCCATGTGGATGCTGATGACATCGATGATGGAGATGCATACAGCAAGGCACTTGGCATCCCCCAAGGCATCCTATAGTATATGGCAGAGCCATATTCCCAATACAGTTGCTCAAAAACCTTGCTGTCAAGAGCTGAAGACCTAAACTGACCTAAAGCCCACCTTCCAAGAATACACAGCAAAGTCAGTCTGAGCAAACCAGACCCCAGTTTCCTTCCCAGCACTCAGTACTCAGGAGCAGGGAACTCATGATCTCCTGCACTTGCTTTCCATCTCTGTAGTCCCTGCCAGAAC